CCTGAACGGTGAGCAGGCGGCCCTGCTGCGGAGGAAGAGCGTCAACACCACCGAGTGCGTCCCGGTGCCCAGCTCCGAGCACGTCGCCGAGATCGTCGGTCGCCAGGGTGAGTGCGGGGAGCGGGGGCTGAGCCGGGCATGGTCCCGGGTGCTGGTCTAAGATTCCCGAGAAACGGGGTCGGGGCCCAACAGGCGAGCCCGGGGCGTCCGCCCGGGTGCATCGCGAAGGGGTCCGGTGATGAGCCGAGGTTTGGCGGGCGGTGACTAGTCCTCCTGTGGAACCCCTGGCGTCCCGCTTCGTTTTGTCGTGAACATTCTCCGAGCGGCGCTGAAGTTCCCCGAGCCTCCCGCCCGGGGTGTTCCCTGCGCTCGGTCCGTATTCGTGGGACCCCGGGCTGGCGAGGCCCCAGAAACCTCGTTGGGGGTTGAAAAGGTCGGGTCGATGTCGTGCCCGGAAAGCTTCGAGGCGGCAAGTTGGCTTCCCCACCGGCTTGGAAAAAGGCGCAGCTCCCCTTGCAGCAGCGGGTGCAGGGACGGGAAGGGGCAGGCATGGAGGCCTGTGGACAGTTCATGCTGCAGGGAAGGGGGTGTTGGAGCGGTGGGTTTCGCCCCCACCCCGCCACCCCGACACCTCTCCGCCCTGCAGAAACTTGGCTTTGGCGGTGCAGCCTCGCTCTCATCTCAGTCCATGGAGTCTATTCCTCCGGTGCGTTTTGAGCCTCGGAGAGGCGCATCGCCTACCGCTCTGCACACTGAAGTGGACGCGGGGAAGGAAAACGGACCGGCGAGGCCCTGGAGTTCAGGAACTCGAGGCATCTGTCCCGTTGGGGCACATTCTCTTTCCCACTTGCCAGCGCACCAGCGCGGCGGACTGACTCCTCCCACATTGTGCAGACAAAGGACCGATGCCTCCGGCTCCTGGAGTCGATTTGTGAAGGTGGGGGAAGGGGACGCCCAGTACCTCCGTGTCCGACATGTTCAGGGAAGGGAAGGTCCGGGGCCCTGGTGTAGCTTTCCCCCCGGGTTCAAGGTTGCCTGCAGCGGCCTGGTGACAGGAGGGTCTGCCTGGTCGGTGCACGGATCTCGGCTGCTAGGCTGAGAGCATGGTTGGGGTCACATAAGGAGGAGCGATGGCGCTGCTGCCGAAATGATCTCATCCTCCCCAAGTGGTCTGAAGTGCACATACATAGGAGGTCTGTGGAAATGGTGGTTTCAGATAGCAGAGCTGGCTCATGTCTTCCCTCCAGGATGTTAGTCAGAAAACCCACCCGAAATCTGGATGGAGGAGACAGATAGCTTATTTCAGACCCTTGATGATTGGTACTTACAGGCACTGTTCAAAGCTGATGCCTTTCAACTGCGAGTTTATTACTAGAGTTTGATAAGTAACTTTTGCATGCTCTGAGTTTTTGCAATACTTACGACACTAATCCAGGAGGGAACTGTTTCACCTTACATAGGCTAAAATTATAACATCTCAATTTATGGGTCCAGAATGAGTTGGCCATTCAATTAAGCAAATCCAAGAACTGTGCCAGGCAGAGTTTATTTATGGCAGTTGGGAATGTAAGGTTGGTTCGAAGTTGCTGGCCTTGAGAAGCTAACACTCTAATAAACAGTGGAATGTCACCAAACTGATGTGTAGTTAATGGCACTGACTGTAAATGTGTGACAAACAAAAGTCATACATAAGAGAACATCAACCCTGGAAGGCCTAGAGAATGGACAGGGCTTTAACAAATGGAGATGGAAGCCTGAAGAGCAGTGTCAGGAGTGGTGTGGAGGAGTAATCTCTAGGTCTGATTGGAAAGTTGCATTGGTTTGGGGTTTTTTGTCTTTGTTTTTTGATGCTTAAGCTCTGTAAAGGGGAGTGGTGAAAAGCTGGGAAGGTGTTAGGCCATACACACTCTTACCCCCCATGCTAGGGTGCCACTTCTGAGCACACGTTGTAACAGTGCTCATGGTGACAGCTTAGGATGTCAAAGGAAAACATTGACATGCTAGTTTTACTAAGGGACAAGATAATGACATCTTTTGTATATTTAGTTAAATACAAACCTTTTTCTTCTCTGTATTAGATCCTTTTAAAGCACTATGAAATGGTCTTTAATTGAACAAACTGTTATCTTTATACAAATCCATTACTTAAAAGTAAACTGAATTCATTCCAAGTTTTTGTTTTGTACCATCTAATAAACTGCAGCAAACAAGAGAAAGCATTTCGTTTTTCTTTTTAGGTCTCTGCTTTACTGGTTAATAAGGATATGTGAATCTGTGTCTTAGGACATGGAGACGAATTGCGAACTATTCCTTATTATTTTCCCAGAATTCACAGTACTGTAAAAAGTATGTCATCATCCTCTATCTTATCTTCAGAGCAAAAAGTCTTGCCCTTTTGCTGTTCTGAACCGGTCAACATTGACCCCTGTGCCACTCCCACCCTCTCAGCAGCACCATAGTAAAACTTGTACTTTCCTGCAGGAGAAGTGGACAACTTCTACATCCTTTTACAGTGATCATTTCCCTTTCCCCAAGTGAATAAACAAGGCAAGTCATTTCATTCATTTGCCTTGAATGAACTAAAGTTTCATCTTGAAGAATTTTCTGTTCCTGCCATTTCATTCATTACCGGAAGTCATAACTTTCTGTTTGACATCTCTTAATTGGGTTTGGAAATAATTATGTTACAGATAAAGACATTTATGACTTCAGCTCCAAAGCAAAGAGCAGGATAAATGGAATTCTGAGTCAGAGAGACTAGCAGCTCCTGCAGATGGCCTCTGTCTGGTTCCAGTGTCTTTCAATAAAGCAACCCGCTGCTTTGGCTAGTGATGAAAATTGGCAGAGTATTGGCCTCATATTTATAATCCCCAATAGTGTGTGGTTGTTTACAAATGCTAAATTGGCCCCATTTTTTAAACCTTGCATTTCATTTTTAAACCAACAATACTGTAAAATAAAGCCAGGAACTAAAGGGGCTTATTGGTAATCAAAGAACTTTTAGAACATAGACATAGAAAGTAAACCTAACAGATTTAAAGACTTAACTTTTTAAAATGTGGTATTTACAAGACACATTCACAGTGGTTAACAGGTTTAAGTCAACAGACTGTCCTAATTTGCACAATCATTGATATCCAGTTAGACTAAAAAATGAATTAAAGTAGAACAATAGACCCATTCTTAACTATATTATAAATAAATCTTGGTGTCATAAATTCAGTTGGTTTTTAAAAAACTAAACCCAAAATTTTATGTCACTACTGTTTAAGAAGTTTCATTAGTGACTTTAATTGGTGGTATAGGTGTTTTCTAGCCTCATAGTCTGGAAAAGTCATCTCCAGCTTTTTAAGAGTGAGGGAGAAAATGAAAATTGGAGTTGTTATTTTTTCTGCACTCCAGTGGAGTTTCTTGCACCCTACTTTGGCTATCACTGCGCTAGACCCTTTTGGAATGTTTTCCTTTATTGAGCTGCTCTTGTCTCCAGTTTCATAGGGTTGGGACCAAGCTCTAACACAATTAAAATAAGGTATATGCATGTTTAGTGTTAGTCTTCCTATACAAATACTCCCTCTTCAAGAAGAAATATACATCTCATAAGAAGATTATTCAGTTTAAGGATAATACTAAATAAAGCACAGTGTCTTTTTCTTTTTTTGGGGGGGGGGGGGATTGTTAACATACTCATTGAGAAGGCCAAGTGCTTTCCTCATGCCATTTAAACTGAAGTTCTGAAAGGTAACTTGCTCAAGTGATGGTACTTGGATTTGACCAGTTTGTTTGATGTCAAAGATAAAGGTCTCGCTCCACATTGCTGCCTCAGTACTGAAGCATCCTGCTCCCAAAGATTAATAATATTTTGGGTTAATTTCTGCCATAATCATGAGTTGGGATACTATATTTCTAGTATGCATAACTTAAAATATCATCATTATTCAAATTACCTTAATAAAATTTTGGTATCTCTACTACTCAGAAGACCGAGTTACCATTCTAATATTCTTAGGTCTATGAGTCTAATTAAATTTCATTGTCATTTTATAGTTTAGAAAGTTAATGTATGTGTATATATACACACTAGCTTTAAAAAATAAATATTGAACTTTTTTAGGCTTTCAAATTTAAATTTAGTTGATAATTATATTACCTCAGGGACCCTTGAGAAAGGTTCAGTTATTGTAATTGTTTTGCAAATTGATGGGTAGTCTACTGCCTTTTCTTCCTGACTATTCTGCTAATGAACTATTTTGATTCACTCTGGAGAAAATGGAAAATAAAGTAAATCAAGGGTGTGTTTTATATCCCATTACCAACAACCTAAAAGTGAGCCAGGGAGTCAAGTAGTTGAGTACTGTTACTCTGTTGAGAGATTTTTATTTAGATAAACATTCAACAATGTTTATGGGTTGGAATTCTCGGTAGTTCTTCTTACATATTGTTTTCAAAGAAAGGTAGCATGTAGTTATAGGATGGTGCTTAATGTTTTATGGATTTGGTTCTGAATAAATTTGATATTTGTACAAATTGAAGAATTTAATATCTTGCCTTAAAGCTGAATACAAAGTGTTTTAGAATGTATGTTTTAATAGAAAAATGCATGTTGTAAACTACTTCAAATTGCCCTTAACGGTCTCTGCTCAACTGTGGTATTTTGGAAAGAGCCAGAAATCAGAAATTAAAATTCCTAAATTCTGACTATTATGTGCCAATAACTCACTTTATGACCTTGGACAAGTTAATTAAACTCCCTGGGCTTCCGATTCCTCTTCTTCGGCTGGGTGTAATCAAGAAACTCTGAGTGATGCACAAATAAATTGATTCATATCCAACTAAGTGATAAGCACATATTACTTTTGTTAAGTTAAATCTGAAATTAATTTGAACCACCCTGTTTAATCATGTTCACCTTTCCTTGGCTTGCTTAGCAGTTCCACCCATTTTATTCTTTTCATGTGATAGAACTAGAACCATCTGATGTCTCAATGCCTGTCAGCTACATGGCACTTCTGTCCAGATGGGTTTAAATTATGCTGTGGTAACAAAGAACCCCAACTTCTCAATATTAAAACAACAAAGGTTTATTTCTGTCCACAAGGGCTCTGATCAT